AGGGGAGGATGGATTAGGGGAGGCACTGGTTGGAAGTAAGACAGACTTTTGAGGAGGGAGAGAATAAAAAGAGAAGGATAAACAGGAAAATGGGATGGAGGGAAATGCACAGAGAGTAGTCATAACTGTGAATGTGAATGGGATGAGCTAACTTCCCATAGAGTAGAAGTGGGTAGCAGAATGGATTGGCAACTAGATCCAACTATGTGTTGTATTCAAGAGACACACCTGGGACAGAAAGCCAGTTGAAATGAAAGGTTGAGTCAGAGTCACTTCAGCTGAAGTGAAGAGGGCAGAGTTGGCAATCATATTCTCAGACAAAGCAGAAGCAAAGTTAAACCTAATTGAAAGAACATAATCAGAGAAGCCACATTTTGCTAAAAAGTACCGTAGACAATGGAGTAATTATTTTTAAAAATTTACAGCAAGTTTCTCTGATAAATGCCTCATTTTTCAAATATATAGGGAGTTGAGTCAAATTTATAAAAATAAGAACCATTCCCCAATTGATAAATGGTTAAAGGATATAAACAGGCAGTTTTCAGAAAAAGAAATCAAAGCTATCTATAGTAACATGAAAAAATACTCTAGATTACTATTTATTAAAGAAAGACAAAACAACTCTGAGGTACCACCTTGTACTTATCAGAAATGGCAAATACTGGGCAGCTAGGTGGTGCAGTGAATAGAGCACTGGCCCTGGATTCAGGAGGACCTGAGTTCAAATCCAGCCTCAGACACATAACACTTACTAGCTGTGTGACCCTGGGCAGGTCACTTAACCCCATTGCCTAACTAAAAAATTAAAAAAAAAACCAGAAATGGCAAATACTGGAGAGGATGAGAGAAAATAGGTATTATGAATTGTTGGTGGAGTAGTGAACTGGTCCAACCATTCTGGAGAACAGTCTGGAACTATATCCAAAGGGTTATAAAATTGTGCATACCTTTTGATCAAGCAATACGACTACTAGGTCTATACCCCAAAGAGATAAAAGGAAAAGAACCTTTAAGTACAAAAATATTTATAATAAGCAGCTCTTTTTGTGGTGACAAAGAATTGGACATGAAGGGATGCTCATTAATTGGGGAGTGGCTGAACAAGTTGTGGCATATGATTGTGATAGAGTACTTTCATGCTGTAAGAAATGATCAGGGAGAGGAGGTTTTAGAAAAAACATGGTAAGGCCTATATGAACTGATGAAAAGTGAAGCGAGAAGAATTTGGAGATCATTGTGCACAGTAACAGCAATGTTGTAAAGATAATCAACCTGAAAGACTTGGCTACTCTGATAAATACACAGTGATTCAAGACAGTTTCAAAGGACTCATGATAAATCCCATCCACCTCCAGAGAGAGAACTGATGAACTCTGAGTGCAAATTGAAGTATAATTTTCTTTCTCTTTTTTTGACCTTTTTTTTTTTTGCAATATGGCTAATATTGAAATATATTTTCCATGATTTCACGTGTATAATTGATATCATATTGTTTCCCTTCTCAGTGGGTGGAGGAGAGGTGAAAGGGAAGGAGAGAATCTAAGTTCAAAATTTAAAGAGAAAAACTAAAAAAAAAAAAATTTTTTTTTAAAAGGAAAAAAAAAGTCTTCTCTCCCAGCCTGTTTCTGACTTTTCAGACTTCACCACCATGCTACAGTTATCTTCTCACCCTGGAAGATCCCCCCTCTTCTTGTACCTTTTTACTCTGGAAGATTCCTCAACACCTGGGACCCCTTCTTCCCATTGGTGAGTTCTTCCTGAAACTTCTATTTTGAGGAGAGGCTGAGGCCAGCCATCCTTCACCCCTCTCATAGCCTGTTCCTGACTTGACAGACTTTGCCACCATTCTACTGTATGGGTACCTTCTCTTTCCCCACTCCCTTCTCAGCTCCCTTTTATATGTTGTCTTCACTTATTAGAATGTAAGCTAACTGAGGGCAGAGATTGTGTTTATTTTTGCTTGTATTTGTATTCCCAGTATCCCTGTGCCTGTCTCTGGTGCATGAGAATCTTTTAAGAAATGTTTATTGACTGACTGTGTTACAAAATTCTACATGTAGATATGAGTAATTATGTTATCTTAACAGTAATATAAATTTATGTCAATTTAGCTGTTGAATCATTATTTCTGATTAGAGATCTTTTGTAGCTTGAGTTCTTGAAAAATTCACAGGTGTTAGAAATAACTTCTATAATATTTTACAAATTTCTTTGATGTTTTTATATGACCTTGTATTTGGCTGAAAAAATGAACAGGTAATCAGATTTTTCACCAGCCTAATAATAATGATAATAGTTAATATGTATATAGTGCTTGAAGATTTCCCAGGCATTTTACATATACTATCTTCTATATCTTATATCCCTGAGATTGAATGGTAAGGAACTAGACTAACAACAAATATGTCTTCGCAGATAAATTAATTTTATAATTATAATCATAATTAATTTTATAGTTATACTTAATACAGTATAATTATATATTACTTCAGCATTTCAAGTGACCAGAATTTGTTGGTATGAATATTCTTTTTTACCAATGCAAATTCAGCTCTGTTGCAACATAAAGATAGGCTTAGAAAGTTGCAGTTGCTGTTGCCAATCTAAAAATGTTGTTTTAAACTTCAGTCAACCAATAAACATTTATTGAATACCTACTACATGTCATCATTGTGCTAAGCAGTGAAGATATAGAAAGAGGCAAAATCAGTCCTTGCCCTTTAGGAGCTATCTAATGGGGGAGACAACATGCAAACAAATATATAAAAAGCAAACTATAGGCAGGATAAATAGAAATAATTAATAGAGGGGAAGCACTTGAATGAAGGAGGGATAGGGAAGGCTTCTTGTAGAAGTTGAAATTTTAGTTGAGATTTAAAGAAAGTTTGGCAGGTTAGTATTGGAAACGGCGGAGGTAGAACATTCCTTGCATAGGCAACAGCTGGAGAAAAACCCCATACCTGAGAGATGGATTGTCTTGTTTGTGGCATAGCCAGGAAACCAGTGTCACTGGATCAAAGAATATGTCTCATGAGGTAAAGCGAAGAAGACTGGAAAAGTAGAAGGGGGCTAGGTTATGAAGGGCTTTGAATGCCAAACAAAGTGTTTTCTATTTGCTCCTGGAGGCAATAGGAAGTCACTTGAGTTTATTGAGTAGGGGAGTGATTGGGCCTACACTTTAATGGCCGAATGGAGCATAGATTAAAGTGGGGAAAGATTTGAGGCAGGCAGATCCACAGCAGACTACTGTGATAGTCCATGTGATGAGGTCCTGCAGTAGAGTGGTAGTAGCATCAAAGGATAGAAGGGGGCATATTCGAGAGATTTTGCAGAGGTGAAATCAATAGGCCTTGCTAACAGTTTGGATATGGGGAGGTAAGAGATAGTGAGGAGTCCAGGATGCCTTCTAGGTTGTGAGCCTGTGGGACTGAAAGGGTGGTGTTGCTCTCTATAAAAATAATGAAGGTTGGGGGTAGGGGAGGACCAGGGGTGGGGAACCTGTGGTCTTGAGGCCACATGTGACCCTTTGACTGAATCCAAACTTCACAGAAAAAAATCCCCTCAATAAAAGGATTATTGGACTTGGACTCAGTCAAAAGGCTGCACCCAAGGACCTAGAAGGCCACAGGTTTCCCACTCCTGGTTTAAACTTCAGGAGAAAAATAGTAAGTTCCCTTTTGGACATACTGAGTTTGAGATGGTTACTGGATAGCTACTTCAAATTATCTGAGATGCACTTAATGCCCTTTAATAATATTTTTGTATTATTGTAGTTCCTCTTCCAGGAGATAATCTAGGAGCTATTTTTATTCTTCATTTAATTTTTATTATAGTTTAGAAAGAAACTTTGTATGTTTTCTAGGATTTATAATGTGTTTAAAAACTATTTCCCTTTAATTGTTCATGTGAGAAGCAGTTGTATGTAAATTTGTTTATAGGTTTTATTTTTAAAAATTAATACTGAAATGTTTTCATTTAACAGAAATTCAGACAGGTCATTTGAAAGTTACAGATATAGCAGTATTATACTTTTTTTTAGTTTTTAAAAAAGATTACATCTTATAAAAAGAAATGATTTACACAATAACCAAAATGATTTTACAGACTGTTTTTGTCTGGCATTTAAAGCAGTCTATAATCTTGCGTTTCCAGTCGTAGCTTCATATTGTCTCCCTTTATAGGCATTAACTTCTGTCAAACTGCAGTACTCCTTTCATTAGCATCAAGGAAACAAATACTGCATTTGCATTAATTTTGGCCAAAACTGCGTTAATATAATATAGATTCTTTTATATTTCACATAAGCAAAAAAAATTCCTTTATTAGGTTCATACAGTTGATAAGGGTTCTGAACAAGTAATATCAAAAGTGGCTTTTAGTTCTGTGAAGGGGCATCTTCTTATTAGGCTTTGGTCTAAAGCTATTAACTTTTTCATAGGTTATCAAATTTTCACTATAAATTTTTAAACTCTCTCAATAACAGTATTTTAGATTTATAGTTGAAAGGATATCTCCTTTAAAGTATCCTCAGTATCTTAATTATCTAAAAAGTTTTTAAAAGTTGGTACCAACATATAAAAATAAATTTAAAGTATTTTGTAATTTGTGACTGGCAAATTTGATTTCTTGGTCATAAAAATTTAGCTCTTAATTTTTTTTTGGTCAATATACACAATTAAGTAGAGATTTAAAAATGCTTCACTAGTTTGACACAGGTCAGAACTTACTTTTTTAGTGTGTTAGACAGTTATATTAAAATTGTCTAAATATGTGCTACCTTTTATCACCTGATATCATTACTTGAATTGAAAAGTCCTTTGCTTGTTGCTATAAAATAACAAAATGACTTTTAGTATATTTGTGTTCCACTTGTGTCAGTCATTGAACTTTATTGCTATAAAGATGAAAGCTGAATACTGTTAAATCAAAGAATAATTTGAATACTGTAAGTTTACAGTATACCATATGAGTGTCACTAAATTATATTTTTATGTTTATAGATTAGAAGAACTGGCTGTGATATGTGCTAATTATGATATTCCACATATAGTCAACAATGCCTATGGAGTACAATCTTCAAAGTGTATGCATCTCATACAACAGGTAAAAAATAGTTTTTAATTAAAAATTAAGTTTTCAAGTGTAATAAAGTTTATCTTTTAAAAACAGGGTACTTTTGTAGTGCTTATACTACTTCTGTTACATATTAATCATCAGAGCTTAGAATATCAGTTCTGAAAAGTCTAGAATTAGAGAGTGTGAAGGCCAGAATAAGGTCATAGAGAAAGAGGAAGTGAAAACACATAGATGCATAAATTTTATTCTTTTAAGAGGGATACCTAGAGCTCAAGTCTTCCTTTATGTGTTTAGAATGGGGAGAAATCCAGTACTCCTACTTCTTACTCCCATCTCAGTGTAACTCGAGGAGTACTCATATTTTACCACAGAAAAACCAGATGACTGGTTCATGTTGTAGCTTTGCCATGTACTGACTGTAATGACCTTGAGGAATGCTTGAAATGAAAAGGTTGAGGTAAATGATCTCCACAGTTCTTCTATTCTGTGACTATGTGTTACCTTCAGACTCTTTCATTTTTACAGCAGACTTTTTCTTACTGACATCATGACCTCAAGATGTGGACTAAGGTTCGGGTACCCAACAGCAATTATTTCTAGACCTTCGATTATCTGTCAGTACTTTTCCCAACTAAAATATGTTGACCTCAGTCTGCTCTTCATTGTCATGTATTTGTCTTTATGATGAAGGAATGGGAGTGCTGGTGTAAAGTTTTGCTTACTGGTACATTACTTCTTGCCATTTTTGCTTGCAGTGTGGTCTCAGTTTTTTCTTTTGGGACGTCTTAAGAAATATTTAGTAGCCTGAGATTGTGAAAATGTAACTCTGACCTTAACACTTGTGTTCTTAGCTGTTTTTACCTCATTCTGTGGGTCTATTATTTTTTTTTCTTCATTATGCTAGTCTTGGGATTTGTTCATGGTCAACTTGGGTCATGGGGTAATCAAAAATAGTGATTTACAAAGGATGTTAAAGATTTAAAGAGTTAAGGTGTAGCTTCTTTACTACTCTGTTTCTGATTCCATGTGAGTGTTAGGCTTTTGATCTCAGAGTAGCTTTTATTCTCTATGTTTGGACTTCTAGGTCACATGACCAACAAGATGGAAGACTAGACATTTTCTCTGATCCTCACAAACTCTCCAAACTTCTCCAGACCATGCATCAGAGACAAAGCAATTTCATCTCTCTCCATGGTCTAGGACAGTGGTGTCAAACTCAGATAGAAACAGGGGCCATTAAACTGTACATAAGTATATCATTAGGCCACATATTAACTTTGTTTTAAAATGTAACGGTATCTATGTTTTATCATATTTTTATTTATTTTGTTAAATATTTTGCAATTGCATTTTAATCTGGTTTTAACTGCACTCAGGTGTTCTGTGGGCTGGGGACGTGTATTTGGTACCTCTGATCTAGATCACTAAGAACCCAAACAAGACAAAAACTCTGTGAACTAACACCGAACTTGTACACACTCAGCACCCCCTCTTCCACTGCCCACCATGCTTTTAGCAGCAAGGCTGCACTAACCCAGCCCATGGGCTTATGACAGAAGGCAACCCCATATCCTAACTAACCTTCATTTCTAGTGCCTGGAGATCCAAGCTCCAAATTCCAAAAAATGTGCTGAGGTCATGATTGCCAGTGCATGATGATAATGATGTGCTGCAACCCAGCTCTGCAGGAGAGCAGAGGAACAGAGGGAGTGGGGCAGAACATGTGTCTAGGCTTGCAGTAGAGCTCTTCTCTATACTCTGATCCCTGCCTCTGCCCAGATATCTGCACATATCCAAATTCCTAAAAATTCAAGCAGCAGAAATTTGTCCAGGCTGATAGTAGAAGGGTGGCAGTGTTCTTTATTGTTGGGTCAGAGGACTGAGGACCAGAGGGAACAGAGCAGGACACAATGTGTGAAGGGCTATGTAGCGTTTCACTAAGTCTGAGAGAAAGAGCCCCAGGATCCAGCAAGGACTAATTCTGTCCCCCCAAAGCAGAGACCTAGGCTGATAAAATGTGAACAAAATATGAATAGGAGGAGACTGAGACACTTGGAGATCCAGCCCCCAGGGAAACCATCATCAGAGGGGGAAGGGAGTCAGCAAGTGAGCAATAGGGGAAAATAAATGAAAAAAAGACTAAAAATACCGAAGATCTCATGAAGAAAAAAACTCAAAAGACCATGAGCCTAAGTAGATAAACCAGTAAGAAAAACATACTAGCTGAAGGAAATATGGTTTTTAGATCCAGCAAATGAGTTCAGCATTTATGAACAAATGCTGTAAAATAAGGGAAAATGATTTAAATCTGAGGAAGGCAGAGGATCCCTCTGTATTTTCTTTTTTTCTCCTTTTTTAAAAAGTAATTTGTTTTTTTCATAATTACATATAAAACCAGGTTTTAACATTTTTTTAGTTCCAGATTCTTTCCCTCTCTTTTTCTTTCCCTTTTCCCTTCCCTGAGACAGTAGGCAACCTGATATATAGTTTATAAATGTGGCATCATGCAAAACATTTCCATGTTAAGTCATTTTGTGGAAGAAAACTTGAACCAAAAAAAAAGAGAGAAAGAAAGTGAAAAATAGTATGCTTCAGTCTTTATTCACACTTCACCAGCTCTTTCTCTGGAGGGGGATAGCATTTTTCATCATGAGTCCTTGAGATTGTCTTGGATCATTGTATTGCTGAGAATAGCTAAGCCATTCACAGTTCTTCATCATACAATATTGCTGTACATCTGTATGATGTTCTGGTTCTGCTCACTTCACTGCATCAGTTCATTTAAGTCTTTCCAGGTTTTTCTGAAATCATCCTGCTCCTCATTTCTTATAGCACAATAGTATTCTGTTACAGTCATATACCGCAGCTTGTTCAGCCATTCCTCAATTGATGGATATCCCCTCGATTTCCAATTCTTCGCCACTGCAAAAAGAGCCACTGTAAATGCTCTTGTACAGATAGGTCCTGTTCCCTTTAACCCTATGTATTTTTAGTAGAGCATGGAATGATAAAATGTCATTCCTGAGTAATTTAAAAGAGAAATGAGAATTGTGAGAGCAGAATTTATGGCCTGTGTTTCTGGATTATTGGCAAAATACAAATAATTGGCAGAATAGAAAAATTTGAATTTGCAGTGGCTAGTCTCACCAAAGAAACAAACAAACAAAAGAACAAGGGATTTGGGAATGCAAATTATAGAAGTCAGAGAAGAGAAGCAAAAGGCAATAACATTAAAAGAAAACATACTCTCCATACAAGCAAAATATAGTCCCTGTGTTCTTCCCAAGTGTTATAAAGAGCAGATACGGAGCTATAGGTTAAAATATGGTTATAATCCATATTTATAGGAAATTTGTGGATGCAAATAAAGAAAAATCTGTCTGAGCAGTACTTGATAGATAGTATCATTTATCAGATGAGGGAGGGGACTGAAGCATATTAAGGTAAAGCACAGGTTGTATAGTCTAGGACTAGGATTTAATTTCATATTTCCCATTTTCAAGTTTTCTAGTTGTCAGTAGGACTTATTGCCATTCAAATTTTTACTTGAAAATGTTTGTTAGCAATAGAATTAAATAATTTAAAAATAATTGTGTGTAGAGAATTATACAGAGAAGTATTACTTTTAGGATTTGTAAAACAGAACCAATTGTTTCTTTGATCTTACAGATAAAGTTTTGTCTTGTTTTATTTTGCATCATACTTAAAGCAAAATTTTGTGTTTAAAGTATTCACGTAAAACAGGAATCCAATTCACTAGGAGCTTCGAGCAGTTATTGTCCAGATGGATAATTGTGGACCTTCTTTGGATTCTGTTTAGTCATCCTGAATCTTACAGACAATGGTCAGAGCTGCTTTCTTTAGGTGTAGAAAATACTATTGGTACTTAACGATTAAATCTTGGATGTGTGCTTTGGGAGACCAGTGACTCCTATGTTTGTATGGAGTAATTAAAGTTTCTAAGTTTCTATTGCATTGTATTTCTTATTTGCTGAGACAAATATTGAAGTATATTGGAATATTAGCTGTTAAGAATAATTTGGGGCAGCTAGGTGGTGCATTAGATAGAACACTGGCCCTACAGTCGGGAGGACCTGAGTTCAATTTTAGCTTCAGCCACTTATTAGCTATGTGACCCTGGGCAAATCATTTACCCCTGATTGCCCCCCCCAAAGGATTCATTCTAAATAACAGCTGAGAGATGAAAGTGATATAATGTAAATGTGTGCCCATAAGACTCAGAGCTAAGTTCCAGTGATTTTTAACCAGTGAGAATGGCTTAACTTTCCATATGTTCTTCATTTTTTTACCTAGACCCTACAGGCCCCATGCCATCTCCTCAGTCTTTGTTTCTGAGACCTTTCCTCTTGGGGTGCTTATCTCCTTTTCTCTGGTTTTCCAGGGAGAGTGGAAAAGCATGAATCTTCTACTGAAGTTACTATTCTGTTATATATGCCATATGCATTATATATATGTCATGCTCATTCTTGCTTCTTTGTATTAGTTTATGATATTTCACCTAAATGGAATACTCTCTTGGTATACTTTCTGCAAGTCCAAGTCTTAGATTTCTTTGAGCCACAGTTCAATTCCTACTTGGAACTTTTATTATTCAGTTGGACATTTGTTAATAGCATTTGAGGCTCTTCTCAATCTGGCTCCAGACTACCTTTCCAAGCTTATTTCTCATTGTTCCCAATCATGTACTCTACCTTCTAGCCAAACTGGCCTACTCTGCTACTCCCCAAATTTGGCATGCCGTCTTATGCCTTCGAACAGACTGACCATGATGCTGGAAATGGACTTGCTTGCTAGACTATCCTATCTTTGAGGATAGGAATCTTATTCTTTTTGTATTCCCACAATTCTAGGAAAAATGGAGCTAAATATACCATTGACTTGATGAATAGTAAACTTTAAGACTAATATTTAATTCTGCTAACTAGCAGAATTAAGCCTGTAAGAAAACTATTTTTATTTTACTTCTTTTAATTTGTACTTATTTTAATAATATTCCTTGGTATTTCTTACTCCAGTTATTATGTATCTGATGGTAACCTATAGCAATAAATATTTAATATTTCATGTCATTTGATTTTAGGGTGCTCGAGTAGGTAGAATAGATGCCTTCGTTCAGAGCTTGGACAAAAATTTTATGGTTCCAGTAGGTGGTGCTATCATTGCTGGCTTCGGTGGTTCCTTCATTCAAGAAATCAGCAAGATGTATCCAGGTAAATAAACTAATTGTCCTTCAGAAGAAATTGCACTTATTTTGCCCCTGTGATAGCTTTTCTTTCCCAGAGTGCTGTCTTTTTATGAGAGTAATCTGTTTTTTATTATTTCAGGAAGAGCCTCAATTTCCCCAGCTTTAGATATTGTCATTACCTTACTATCACTGGGATCGAATGGCTATAAGAAGCTTTTAAAAGACAGAAAGGTAAACGTGTTTTTAATTGTAAATATATTGTATATTGCAATACCACCTGTTACTGTGTGTGACTGTTGTCTGGGAGGAGCTAGGAGTGTTGATTTTTGCTAGTATCAATGCCTACGGGACTTTCTGTGATCTGGACACAATGAAAATGCATGTACTTAGTACCAAGGATATATGGGTCATTTCTGGAAAAAAAAAACCAACTACTGCAACTTCCAATTGGCCTAATTACAGTTCTGATCAATACCACTTAAAGGTGGAGGTTCTTACATAGCAAGAAGATGCTAAAGAATTTTTGTTTACATTTCTGTCCTAAGATTGAAGAGCTGTTGAGGTCTTGAGGATTCAGCCAGGAGGGGAGGTGCTAGAGAATGAATTTGACACTTTACCTTACTCCACAAATCTGCCCTTGCAAAAGCTGGTTTCATTATTGTTATGGAAAGGCAAGAAACCTTTAAAGTTTTTGTTTTATCATTGTCTCTGAAAACTTATTTAATAATCAGTCCAAGAGAATAGGTATAGTTTGTGGTGGGCCTAGTGAGTAACAGTTGTGGGAGATTAAGTGTATCACCTGTCTGAAGGATCTTTCAGAAGCTGGTTGTAAAGGTAGCTGCCTAAACAAATAGTTTCCGTTCATTGTAACTTCTCAGCCTGTCATCCCATGCATGTGACAGATACGCAGTAACATAAGTGTTAAGTGGGGAGTTCTGTGTTTAATTCTGCCTGGTCTTCTCTGTTCCCACTCAATTTTTAGAATCAACCCATGGAACAACAATTATTTTATCATAACAATACTTATATATTAAGATATGTGGAATTAAAAATCAAGTCCCCTGGCACTGAATTCCAATAATACTGTCTAAATTATTTTGGGTACTGGAATATAGTTGCTTTTGGTATTCCTTAAAATAAATGGACTTATTAGAATTTGTAAATATTATTGTATTTGTCCTATAGTAGCAACCCAACATAAAGAATTGAACCAAGGCAAGGAACGATTTTTTTTTTCATATTTTACTTGAAAATTTACCTATACACACTAGATAGAGCACCGGTCCTGAGGTCAGGAGGGCTTGAGTTCAAATCCAGCCTCAAACACTTACTAGCTAGCTGTGTGACCCTGGGCAAGTCACTTAACCCCCATTGCCTCCAAAATTGAAAAAAAAAAAGAATACAGAAAATTTACCTATACAATACTATAGAATTTCATGTTTACATAAGATATTAAGTTTTCTTGGCCACATTTCTAGTGCATTCATACTCAGGATCAGACAAAAATTAGGTGTTGAGTAATGGTTTGAGTATTTAACTTCTACAAATAATACTTGTTGTCCAAGAAGCTGACCCTAGAATTACTCTGTCACACTGGAGAGTCCTCTCCTTTTTTTCTGAGACCGTGTCCCAAAGGAGTATACTGTAATAATTAGCAACTCGCCAGATAACTGAAAAAGTTTTACCTAGTACAGGTGCGGAAATAAAGACGTTAAACATTTAAGACACAAGAATTTCAGACATAATGAAATAGGGGAAGGAAAATCTTGTTCGTTTATAGGACAGTCATCAGAATAAAATACTGTCCATGATGAAAAAAGGATTCTAGTCCCAAAGATTGAAATTTGATTGTCTTAGAGATAACATTTTCCCTAATAACGTATAATTTTGAATGTTATTCATTTGGAAACTAAGACTCTATATAAGTATTACGGACTTTTCAGGAATGCATTTGAATGCAGTTAAACATATGAAACTCTGTTCCCCTCACAGTGTGTCAGAGGCAGTTGTCTGTTTCACCTTAACTTGTCCTCTGAATCACTGGTGTCAAACTGAAATAGAAACAGGGCCACTCCTCTCTACATAAGGATGTCTTGCAAGCCATGTATTGGTTCAGTTTTAAAATGTCATTTTTCAGAGTTTTTTGTTTGTTTTGTTAAGTATTTCCCAATTACATTTTAATCTAATTCTAGCTGTATTGAAATGTTGTGTTTGATACCTCTACTCTAAATGATTAATAAGTACTTAATTAATTGAGCCAACTTAGCCTTCAGGGCCAATTAAGGGAAGCAAGGATTTAAACTCTTAGTCCTCACTGGCTTAGTTGGGGAGATAAGACATATACACAAAAAGATGATGAGTAATTATGGTATGGTGAAAAGTGTACTTGACTGAGGCAAGAAACCATAGTTCTAATCTTGGTTCTGCCATTAACTAGTTATGTGACCTTGAACAAGTAACTTTACCTCTTTAGGCCTCAGTTTGTGTAAAGTGAGAGAGTTGAATAAGATGAAACCAAAGCCTTTACAACCTGAATTCTGTGATTTTACTGCCACATGCTACATAATAAACACTAAATGAATGTTACAGAATTTAGAAAACAGGAAGGAGGAGAGATCAGGAAGGAGAGATCACTAATAGTGATCAGTGAATGCTTTACAGAGGCATTGCTATTAGATTTAGTAGCATAAAAAGTTGGTTAGACATTAAGGGAGGAAAAAAGAAGGGAAAGTCCTTTTAGGCAGAAGCAACAAGGTAAGCAGTGTCTTGGAAATAGGAATATGAAGAGTGTATTCAAGACACCGTGAGCAGGCCAGTCTGGTAAGATAGTTAGTAGCAAGGGATGAATTTGGAGAAGTAGACTGCAGACAGATTTTAGAGGATCTTAATGCAAAGTAAAATGGTTTGGGTCATTCTCATAGATAGCTGGGAGTTGTTGTAGGCTTTTGAACAAGAAAGTGATAATGCAGTGTTCTAGGAAGATTAACCACTTTAAAGTGTCACTCTGATTCCTCATGGGATGGAAGGAACCTTGGCTTCTTGAAAGCTCTGCCAGCACAGTACAAACTCTGGTCTCACCTACCAAATGGAAAAGCTTTGAGTATGGTCCTGTCAGTGTACTATAGCCTAGTTAACTGTGGAGAGGATTCAGCACTGAAAAGCTGAATTTTTTGGTAATAGTACTCATGAAATTATTTAATCTACTAAGGCGTAGATGAAGTTTCATTCTACATTAGTGGAAGAAATAATCATATCCGTGATGTCACTTTGGATATCTTTCGAGGTATTGAAAAATGTAGTGGCATTATATATGCTGGGTTGGAGTTGGAAAGAAGTTGGAAGTGTTAAGAATGGTTCTGACTACTTGACAGGTATATCATATTGGGGATTTCCTATGATTATGGGTTGGGCTAGATGACCTGAAGTTTCTTGGAGGTCTAATCATGCTGTGGTGAGACTTAACCCTAAAAACTCATGTGTGAGCAAGAATCTTGTTTGAAAAGTCATTGTGTTTCAGTTGTGTTTGTGTCATTGTACTTTGTCTTAAAGGAGCAGCAGTCTTATTTGGGGAGAGAAAACACCAGAAACAACCAGCAAACAATGAGTATGATGATATAGTGAGTTCTGGGGAATACAAGAATCAAGATTGAAGGTTTTATTTATTAATACCTTTTGGGAATAGAAGCATGAAAATTAGCACAATTCATTATTTTGCTTATTGGTGTGCCCTGTTTAGGAATATTAGCTTGTGTTGATTAGCCTGAGATTTAGGTCTCACATACCTATCAGAAACTCTTCAGGAATACTTCATTTGGGACTAGGAAGAAAATACAAGATAGTGAAGACGAGTGTTTATATTTTAGGTTGCCCCATTTAATTAGAGTAATATTATCCTTTTATCTGTGTACTCGTGGAAGAAAATTGGTAGTCTTACTTGTTTAACCCTCCAAGATGGTTGATTGACGTGACTTGGTGGGCTTTGCTAAATTTCATGTGTACTTTCACAATTTATGTTTTGATGAGAATTTAGCTGTTTTGTAAACTTGGTTATTTAGACTTACCAAAGATTTTTGGGGGTTAAATTTATTTCTTTATAGTGATTACTATCTTTCTCTTCATTTTTCCTTTCAGTTTTGGTTAACTCATTTCCTACTTAGTAAAAAGAGTATAATACATAGCCCTAGCATGGTGACTTTTCTCTAAAATTTTAAATAATTAGTTTTTAATTGCAAAACATACTTGGTAAAGTAGAAGCTCTTAAGATTTGTGCGTGTGCATGTTGTCATAGCAAAGAACCATGATATTTTATACTCAGATGGTATTATTTCTGTTTCTTGTACACTTTGTATTGAAATTAAAGTGACAGCAACAGTTACTGGATTTTACTTAATCATTCATTAACTCTAACAGATTAACAGAAGCCTTAAGTAATTCCTTTGCCATACTGTCTTATACCCCCCAAACCACAAAACTTCCGTCTCATTAACTATTTCAGATACAGTTTAGTTTTTTACATTCTGCAAAAGAAGTCAGTTGGTATTTGTTTATAGTACACATTTTCACATTTTATTTAGGAATACACAAAAAATTAAATTCTTGGGGTTTTTTTTGTTTTTTTGGCAGTTGGGGTTAAGTGACTTGCCCAGGGTCACAAAGCTAGTAAGTGTCAAGTGTTTGGCTCCTGACTCAAGGGCAGGTGCACTGTGCCACCTAGCTGCCCTAAAGCAAAATTTCTTATATATTTTGAGGGAACATATTTCAGAGGACTCAGAAAAAACAAGTAATATCCAACATCCTAAAATTTTACGAGGAATGTCATCCTTAAGAGGGGATGGGAAACTCTCATAAATGAAATTTCAAAAGACATAAACACAATTGAGTTCAAAGGGAAAAAAAAGGTTGGCAAGTTGTCTAAAGGGAGACTTATTGACTAAGTTAGACTCAAAAAGATGTGTATTGAAATAGTGCTCTATCCACTGCACCACCTAGCTGCCCCCTCACAAAAAAATGAAATTCTGTAGCAAATAATACATATTAACAAATAGAGTGATTTCTTGCTTTACAGAATAGAAATATACCATTAATTACAATTTGGTTCCAGCTTACCTTTCCAAACTGAACACTGCTTTTCAAAATCCTACATTCTAGCCAAGCTGGTCTATTTGCCATTCCTGTATGGGACTTTTCATTTCTTATTTCTTTGTCTGTTCTGCAGTCTGTTCTTCATAGAA